CACCACACAACACACACCCACACAACACTCAGCACACAACACGCACAACACACAACACACAACACACATACCACGTAACACACAACACACAACACACAACACTCAAGAAGCGCAAATCACAACACCCACAACACAACCACACGGCACACAACGCACAATATTCACAACACACAACACACGCAGCAAACACCACCCACGACACGCAAACACAACACACACGCAACACAAAACACACAACACACAATACACACCACATAACACACAACACAGAGCACAACACACAACACACAACACACAACACGCAACACACAACACACAACACACAACACACAACGCACAGCACATAACACACAGCACACAACACACAACACACAACACACAACACAGAGCACACAACACACAACACATAGCACATAACACACAGCACACACCACAACACACAACAAACAACACACAACACACCCACACAATACAACATCCACACAACACACTCACACAACACACTCACACACCCACACAACACACATATCACACAACGCACAACACACAACACACAACACTCGCAGCACACAACACCCACAACACAGAACACACAACACACAATACAACACACACAACACACATACACAATATATAAAATAACCACATAACACACAACACACAACATACAACACACGCAGCACCTATAACGCTGACAACATACAACACACAACACATCGCACACAACACACAACACACATCACACAGCACTCAGCACACAGCACACATTACGCAAAACACACAACATACAGCACACACACGACACAGCACACAACACAACACAGAACACACAACACACACACACGACACATTACACAACACACAACACACAACACACGACACGCAAAACACAACACACAACCCACAACACAGTACAAACAGCCCACAGCATACCACACACCACACACCACACAACACACACCCACACAACACAGAGCACACAACACACAACACACAATACACACCACACATACCACACAACAGACACAGCACACAACACACACAACACACAGCACACACACACCACACAGCACCCACAACGCAACCACAACACACAGCACACAGCACAACACACAACACACAACACACAAAACACACAACACTCGCAACACACAGCAGCCACAGCACACAACCACAATCACACACCACACATAACACAACACACAGCACAACACACACCGCACGACACAACACACACACAATAGAGCACACAACACACAACGCACAACACACAGCACACAGCACATAATACACAGCACAGAACACTCACAACACAACACACAACACAGAGCACACAACACACAACACACAGCACAAACCCCACAACACACAACACACAGCACACCACACAGCACAACATCCACACACCACACACACACGCACACCCACACACCACACAACACACAACACACAACACGTAACGCTCGCAACACACACTACACATCATACATAATATTATACACAATACGCAACACAACACACACCACATACAACACACAATACGCAATAAACAACCACATGACACACAACACACATCACGCAACACACAACACCCACAACACCCACAACAAATACACAAGACACATCACACTCAACACACACAACACACTAAACACAGCACACAACACACAACACACAACTGACAAACCACACAACACACAGCACACACAAGGCACACTCCACAACACACAACACACAACACACAACACACAACACACAACACAGACGACACACAAAACACACGTAACACACCACCCACAACCCACACCACACACACAACGCACAACACACAGCAAACAACACATAACACACAACGCACAGCAGACAACACAACACACACACACACACACACGCAACACACACCACACAACACACAACACACAACACACAACACAAACCATACAAGACACAACAAGCAACACACAAGACACATCATACGACACATAGCATGCAACACGCAACACACAACATAACACACAACACACACCACATACACAACACACAGCACACAACACACAACACACAACACAATACACAACACAACACACAACACCCAACACACAACACACAACACACAACACACCAAACACATGTTGTGCCGCGTGGCCCCGCCGCTTGAAAGGAAAACACGCCTAGTCGCATTCTCCGTTTTCCAATCTGGGGGGGGGTGACAGGCTCAGGGGCAACGAGGTTCGCGGTTCGAGCCTTCAGGTCTCTGGCTCTTTGCGTCGGTTCCCGCCAGTTTTCGAACCTCGGGGTGCCTTCAGCAGCTGCGCTTGGCCGAGGTCGTTATTGGGGATGCCCGGATAGTCCCGAACGGGCGCCGCAGAGCAGAGTTATGACCCGAAAACCATTGGGCATTGGGGAGGGGGGGCGGACGAGCTCCTCGGCGCACCGCCTGGGCTCTCGAGGTGCCTGCGGAGTGCAGGGCTGGACCTAAACGCTGTTTTGCTGAACAGCGACTGTGTTTTGTTTCTCGTTGTGGCAGGGAGGTACAGGAAAACAGGTAGAGCAAAACGAACAACAAAACGAAAACACAACGAAAAGCAACGTTGAGGTCCAGCCCTGACGGAATGGCGCCAAGGGTCCCTCGGGGATGGCCCAGCGTGTTTCCAGTTCGGCCCATGGTGGCCCAAGGCTGTCTCCAAGGGCGCCCAGGATGGCCCAAGATGCCGCAGGCCTAGAGGTTAGCACCAACACCAATATCGGCGGGGTTTCTCCAGCGAGGAAAGATGATCCCGATCTCGGTGATGGTGGCAATATTCAGGTTTCCTAGGTGGCCGAAAGATTACCACCAACACCGAAATCTAGGATCATCGCCCCCCCTGTGGAGGCAAACCCCTGTGTTGGTGTTTGTGCCCATTTCCAGGCCTCCAAAGATGGTTTCCACGCCCGCTTGCCCGTCGCCGACGTCGGCGGCGGCATCGTCAGCGTTGCGGCTGTCGTCTCTCAGGGGCAATGTGTGGGGGCGGCCCTATGGCTTTTTGAAGTTTGTGTGCATTTTCGTCGGTTCTCGTCTGCTTTTCAGCCTCGGGATTCGTTCCAGCGGCTGCGCTTCGCCGAGGGCGTTCTGGTGGTGCCCAGGTCCTCCCGAACGGCCGCCAGAGAGCCGAGTAATGACCCGAACGCCAAGGGCAACATTCGGCGGGGATAGGCTCGTCGGGGGCGGCCTCCAGTCGGATACGCGTCAGAGTGACCTTTGGTGCGTGGCTTGCGGGGGGGCCAAGCCAGAACACGCAGGCCGCTACTGTCGCATCGAATGCAACGATCCGCAAGCCGCGCACCAAATGTCACTCTGGTCTAAGCCCCCCTTGCGTGCAGCCGATGCAGGAGGGGCTGGCCTCGGACCGAGGGCCCCCGGAGGGCTTTCGCGGAGGCTGGTTGCAGCAATTCGGGCACAGGCTCTTACCCCTCGCGCTCGCCCAGCGCTGCCCGGGCGGCGGCCAGGCTCTCCCTGCGATGTGGCGAACCCTGGCGGGTCGCGCAGCTTGCGGCGCCCGAGAGTTTGTGCGGCGTGCGTCGTGCACGGTGCCGCCGTGGGCGGTGCTGCCGCGGCCGCTGGAGTTGCCGCTGCACGGCGCTAGGCGCCGGTGCGCGCAGCAGGCCACGGGCACAGCCAGCGGGGCCTCGGGCAAGCCTGGCCGGGTGCCGGGGAGGCTGTTGGCGCGCCACTTCGCGGTGTGCGCCGTGCCAATGGTCGGCTTCGGCTTCATGGACAACTCCATCCTCATCCGCACTGGCGACGCGATAGAGCGGTATTTTGGCGTCGCCTACGGCCTCTCGGGGCTGTCGGCCGCGGCCGCCGGGCAGGTCTTCAGCGATTTCAGCGGCGTGGTTTTCGGGGGTCTGGTGGAGTCTGTCTCGAGATTCTTCATCATGCCGCCCGAGCTCTCTTCCGCGCAGGTCTCCCTGAGGATCGTGCAGGCAACAGGCACGGCAGGCGCCGCCGTGGGCGTGGTTATTGGCTGCCTGCTGGGCATGAGCAATCTGCTGTTCATGGACCTAGCAGAGGCCGAGCGCCTCAAGAGGATGGCCGAGCTCGAGGAGATCTTCACCGTGGTTGTGAAGTCTGCCGAGGAGGCGATAGGGACCCGCATGGGCAGCATCTTCCTGGTTGACGAGGAGTCCAACGAGCTTTGGACCCGCGTGCAGACTGGCGTGGATAGCTCCATCAGGATTCACATATCTGAGCAGAGCATCGCTGGGTGGGTGTGCTTGCACAACGAGCACCAGATCGTCCCAGACGCATATAAGGATCCGCGATTCAACCAGGCTGTCGACAAGAGGACAGGAAACAAGACTCAGAACATGATTGCTTTTCCTGTACGTTCGCAAGCGGATCCCAACAAGGTCATTGGAGTCATACAGCTGATCAACAAGGAGAGCGGCCCCTTTGATGAGAACGACGTGAAGACGTGCAAGATGCTCAGCATTCACGTTTCAGTCTTCCTCTCCAAGTGTGAGTGATACCGCTGAGAGCCCCGCAGATGGCCCAGGCGCTCGCTCTGAAGGTTGAAGCGCTCGATGTGTTGGGCCTCGTGGTTGTTGCGCTTCGTCTTTTTCCACTAGGGCTGTCTCTGGCCAGTCTTGCCTGGTCACCCTAGCGCCTTGGGGGTGCCACTTGTTAACCCTATTTTCTGAATCAGCCAGAGGCTGAATGGTTCGTCTCTCTGTGGTCATCTCGGCCTCACTCCACGTTGTAATCTCCGCGTCGATGTCCTTGAACTTCTGCCGCCATGCGGCATCCGAGGGCAGATTGTAGTACTATTCATTATAATGATCGGACGTACTCGGCCATGGTTGCCAGTCAGAGTCACGAGCGGCTTCTGTTTGAGCTTGCAGAGGGTAGCTTCCAGATTCTTTCCCCTGCAGGTTTGCATGGTGCCCGAGTGCCTCAAGGGAGTCCGCGTGCGCCCAGGGTTGGTCTCCAACAGGGTCGTTTGGAACACACGACTATCTAAAGTGACTTCACAATCGACCAAAAAACAAACGACACCACCCCACCTACTGTCCTCCATGTTGCCCTACGGCCCGTCGGGGGCCGTAGCGCATGCCACGCAAAAACCCACGCCAGTTGTCCTGGTATACGCTAAGGGCCGTGGGGCCGTGGGTGAGATGGTGTCGTTTGTTTTCTGGCCCGCAGTAGAGCCTCCGATGGCACCCAAGGACGGCCCGACACAGTTCAAGATTGTTCTCAGCCGGCGTCGGGACATCCCGAACCAGTCGGGAGTTTTGAGACGGGGTCAATGTAAACGGGGGTCAGGCAGGGCGCCAGATCTTGCAGGATCATGCAGGGCCAGGGGCACTTTGTCCCGGTCTTGCGTGTAGGATCCTGCAGGTTCTGCAGGATTTTGCTGGATCTTGCAAAGCCCGACTGATCCGGGTTAAGATTGACCCGGGTCAGTAGATCCCCGATCCAGCGATCAGTTTGAGTATGAGCACATAAGATGCCCCGACCAGGCCTGTGCGAGGCTTTCTTGATCCCCCCCTAGTCATGCTGTTCTTCCCAGCGGAGTGACTGTCATGATTGTAGAGTTGAGCCTTCCACGGCAGGTCAAAGGTGCCGTTGTGTCCCGTGCTTCGCGTCCCATGTCCTCTGCGCTCCAGGGGCGTAGCCTTCGGAAGGGTCTTGTATCCTCTCGCTTGTTCTCCCAAATCAAATTCGACTGGCACTTTCCTGTGACTACATACATGCATGTATCTATGTTTGTTTGTATGTAAGTAAGTATGTATGTATGCATGCATGCATGCATGCATGCATGTATGTGTACCTAGGCATGCATATATGTATGCACGTATGCATGTATGCATGTATGCATGTAGTCATGTATGCATATATGCATGCTGCATACATGCATGCATGCATGCATGTTTACATGTATGTATGAATGTATGGTTGTATGGGTGTATGTATGTATGTATGGATGGATGTGTGTATGTATGTATGTATGTATGTATGTATGTATGTATGTATGTATGTATGTATGTATGTATGTATGTATGTATGTATGTATGTATATATTTATGTATGTATGTATGTATGTATGTATGTATGTATGTATGTATGTATGTATGTATGTACGTATGTACGTATGTATGTATGTATGTATGTATGTATGTATGTATGTATGTATGTATGTATGTATGTATGTATGTATGTATGTGTATATATGTATGTAATGAATGTCTGTCTGTCTGTCTGTCTGTCTGTCTGTCTGTCTGTCTGTCTGTATGTATGTATGTATGTATGTATGCATGCATGCATGCATGCATGCATGCATGCATGCATGCATGCATGTATGTATGTATGTATGTATGTATGTATGCATGAGCGCGTTCAGTCGGCGCTTGAAGGGGGGGTCGGAACCAGACCTCCCACCCCTGGATTGAAGGGGGGGGGTCGAACCCCCCCCTCTCCCGAGACGGAGGGGGGGGATTCGAACCACCCCCCCTCCTCTCTCCCTCTCCTCGGGTCGGCGCCAGCGTCGGCGGCGGCTGGCGGCGGCGGCGGGGAGCGTCGATGAAGACCACGTTTTCCTTTTCTGGGCCGGCGCCTGCGGCAGCTGGCGGCGGCGGCGGCGGGGAGCGTCGACGAGGACAGCGACGACGATGACGACGACGACGACGCACCGCCACCATACCTTGGTTTTGAGTCAAAGTCCTGATGGATGCCTCCTGGGTTCTCGTCGGAGGGCTCTTGGGGGCCTCTGAAGCCTACTGGGCGCCTCTTGGGCGTCTCTTGGGGCCTCTGAGGTGGTGGTGGTGGTGGGTTCTGGTGGTGGAGGTGGTGGTGGTGGTGGTTGTGGTGGTGGTGGTGTGATGGTTGGTGGTGGTGGTGTTGGCGGTGCTCGTTATTGTGGTGGTTGTGGTGGCAGGCTGTGGTGGTGGTGGTAGTGGCGGTGGTGGTGGGATGTGGTGGTGGTTTGGTTGTTTCTGGTGGTGGTGGCGGTGATAGTTGTGGTGGTAGTGGGTTGCTCTGGTGGCGGTGGTCGCGGTGGTGGTGCGGTGGTTTATCGTGGTGGTTGCGGTGGTGGTAATGCTGGTTGTGGTGGTGGTGGTGGGTTTTGGTGGTGGTGGTGGATGCGGTGGTGGTGGTGGTTGTGGTGGTGGTGGTGGCGGTGGTGGTTTGTTGTGGTGGTGGTGGTTGTGGTGCTGGGTGGTGGTGGTGGTGGTTGTGTGGTGGTTTTTGGTGGTGGTGGAGGTGGGTTAGAATGGTGGTGGTGGTGGTGGCGGTGATGGTGGAGGCTGTGGTGTGGTGGTTTGTTGTGGTGGTGGCGGTAGCAGGGGTGCTGGTGGTGGTGGTGGGTTATGGAGGTGGTGGTGGTGGTGGTGACGGTGGTGGTCGTGGTGGTGTGGTGGTTTGTGATGGTGGTGGTGGCGGTGGTAGGTTGTTCTGGTGGCGAGGTGGTGATTGATGCGGTGGTGGTGGTGGTGGTGGTGCTGGTGTGGTGGTTTGCGGTGGTGGTGGAGGTTGCGGTGGTTGTGGTGGTCGTGGTGGTTGTGTGGTGGTTTGTGGTGGTGGTGTGGTGGTTTGTGGTGTATGTGGTGGTGTTAGTGCGTTTTGGTGGTGGTAGTGGTGGCGGTGGTTGTGGCGGTCGTGGTGGTGGTGGTGGTGGTGGTGTGGTAGATTGTGGTGGTGGTGGGTGTTGTCGTGGTGGTGGTGGTTGGTTGTTGTTGTGGTTGTGGTGGTGGTGGTGGCTGTGGTGTGGTGGTTTGTGATGGTGGTGGTGGCGGTGGTAGGTTGTTCTGGTGGCGAGGTGGTGGTTGATGCGGTGGTGGTGGTTGTGTGGTTGTTTGTGGTGGTGGTGGGTTTTGGTGGTGGTGGTGGCGGTGGCGTGTTGGTTTGTCGTGGTGGTGGTTTGTGGTGGTGGTGGTGGTTTGTTGTGGTGGTGGTGGTTATGGTGGCGGTGGTGGTGGTGGTGGTGGTGTGGTGGTTTTTGGTGGTGGGGGAGATGGGTTAGAATGGTGTTGGTGGTGGTGGTGGCGGTGATGATGGAGGCTGTGGTGTGGTGGTTTGTTGTGGTGGTGGTGGTAGCAGTGGTGGTGGTGGTGGGTTGTGGAGGTGGTGCTGGTGGTGGTGGTGGCGGTGGCGGTGGTGGTGGTGGTGGTTTGTGATGGTGGTGGTGGTGGCGGTGGTAGGTTGTTCTGGTGGCGAGGTGGTGGTTGATGCGGTGGTGGTGGTGGTTGTGGTGCCTGTGTGGTGGTTCGCGGTGGTGGTGGAGGTGGTGGTGGTTGTGGTGGTCGTGGTGGTGGGTTGTGATTGTGTGGTGGTTTGTGGTGGTGGTGTGGTGGTTTGTGGTGGATGTGGTGGTGTTAGTGGGTGTAAGTGGTGGTGGTGGTGGCGGTGGTTGTGGCGGTCGTGGTGGTGGTGGTGTGGTAGATTGTGTGTTGGTGGTGGTTGTTTTGGTGGTGGTGGTTGGTTGTTGTTGTGGTGTTGGTGGTTGTGGTGGCTGTGATTATGGTGGTTGTGTGTTTTTTTCTGGTGGTGGTGGGTCTTGGTGGTGGTGGTGGTGGCGGTGGTGGTGGTTTTGGCGTGTTGGTTTGTCGTGGTGGTGGTGGTGGTGGTGGGCTGTGGTGTGGGTGGTGGTGGTGGTGCTGGTGGTGGTGGTGGTGGGTAGTGGGTAGTGGGTGGTGGCGGTGGGGGTGGTGGTTATAGTAAAGGTGGTTGTGTGGTGGTTTGTTGTGGTGGTGGTGGTAGTGGGTTTTGGTGGTGGTGGTGGTGGCGGTGGTGGTGATGGTGGTGGTGGTGGTTTGTTATGGTGGTGGTGGCGTTTTTGGTGATGGTGGTGGTGTAGTGGTTTGTGGTGATGGTGGTGGTTGTGGTGGTGGTGGTGGGTTGTGGTGGTTGTTGTGGTGGTGGTTGTGGTGATGGTGGTGGTGTGTGCTGGCTCCAGGTCGCAGTTCTAATGGATGCCTCTTCAGGTCTCGTCAGAGGGGTCTCGTGGGCGTCTGAGGAGCATTTGTGAAGCCTCCTGGACCTTCCTAAGGGCCTCTCGGTGGCTTTTGGGGGGCGAGTCGGGCTCGATACAGCGCTTTGTGTTTCCCCTCTGCGGCATCTTGGCCATCTCCGGTCATCGTTGCTGCGTCCCCGCCGTCGGCGCTGCTGGCCGCTGGACGCCGCCAGCGCCGGTGCTGGCGCCGGCGTCGGGGGGGGGCGGTTTGGTCCCTCCCCCCACCCTCCCCTCCCTGAGCCCTCTCTGGTCATCGTTGCTGCGTCCCCGCCGTCGGCGCTGCTGGCCGCCGCCAGCGCCGGCGCCAACGCAGGCGCCGGCGCCGGGGGGGGGGCCTGGGAGTGGGGGGGGTTGGGGAGTGGGGGGTTAGGGAGGGAGGGGAGTCCCCCTAGTTCTGATCGACAGGCGCCGAGTGTTGGGGGGCGACCCCCCGTGGTTCGAAATGCGCTGCAGAATGTTCCCAAGGCAAGCGCCCGTGAAACGCGGTCTATCATGTATGTATGTATGTATGTATGTATGTATGCATGCATGCATGCATGCATGCATGTATGTATGTATGTATATGTATATGTATATGTATATGTATATGTATATGTATGTATGTATGTATGTATGTATGTGTGTATGCGTGTATGTATGTATGTATGTATGTATGTATGTATGTATGTATGTGTGTGTATGTGTATGTAGATGTAGATGTAGATGTAGATGTAGATGTATATGTACATGTGCATGTATATGTATATGTATGTATACGTATATGTGTAGATCTATATATAAGTATATGTATATATGTATATGAATATGTACATGTGAATGTGTATGTATATGTGTATGCATATGTATATGTATATGTAAATGTATATGTGTATGTACATGTTTATGTCTATGTCTATGTATATGTATATGTATATGTATATGTATATGTATATGTATATGTATATGTATATGTAAATGTATATGAATATGTTTATGTACATGTATATGTATATGTATATGTATATGTATAT